TCTGCCCCTCTCTCGCGCTCTCCTCCTTTTTCATGACACTGTCTTCGACGCTGCCCTCCGCTCTATTCCTCGCTCTTCCTCTCGGGGTCCGCGGAAGTGCGTTCCCTGGTGGAATGCAGACTGTGCTCGGGCTGTCCGCTGTAAGCGTGCAGCCTGGAAGAAGCACCGCCGTAGGCAGACGACCGATTCTTTTCTTTTCTTTCGGAAAGCGAGTGCGGTGGCCCGTAGGGCCATCCGTACGGCTAAACGTGAATGTTGGGCATCTTATGTCTCGACAATTACGTCCGAAACCCCTCTGGCCCAGATCTGGAAGCGTATCCGCAAGATAGCGGGTAAGTTCGTTCCCGATGTTTCACCGGTCCTTCACCTCCATGATACTCTTGTGGCGGACCCGTTGCAGGTCGCTTCCGAACTGGGTTCCCACTTTTCTTCTGTTAGCTCTGGTCTTCATCTTCCCCAATCTTTCCTTCTTCGTAAACCTGTCCTTGAGTCTCGTCCTTTAGATTTCTGCACTCATCTTCAGCTTCCCTATAATGATCCCTTCTCTCTCTCTGAACTTCGTTCTGCCCTGGCCCTCTGCGGTTCTACGGCGGCGGGCTCCGATGGTATTCATTATGAGATGCTTCGCCATCTCCCTCCGAGCACGTCTCAGTATTTACTGAGTCTGTATAATCGGATCTGGGAGTCGTCGTCAGTCCCTGAGGACTGGCTCGATGCCGTTGTCCTCCCTGTTCGCAAACCGGGGTCTCTGGGTACTTCCCCTAAGGACTTTCGCCCTATTGCTCTCACAAGTTGTGTCTGCAAACTCTTTGAACGTATGGTTAACGTTCGTCTGATGTGGTTCCTGGAACACCATCACCTCCTCTCCCCTTCTCAATTTGGTTTCCGCAAGTGCCGCAGCACGACAGATGTCCTGGTGAACTTGGAGGTCTATATTCGTACTGCTTTTGCTGCGAAGACCTCCGTTGTTGCCGTCCTTTTTGACCTATAAAAGGCTTACGACACCACTTGGCGTTATCATATCCTATCTCAACTTCATTCTTTTGGCCTTCGTGGTCATCTCCCTCTCTTTCTCCGCAGCTTCCTCTCTCGTCGTTCCTTTCGGGTGCGCCTTGGTACCGCTCTCTCTCCCTCTTTTCAGCAATACGAAGGTGTGCCCCAGGGTAGTGTTCTGAGCACTACTCTTTTTCTGGTTGCCCTCAATGGTCTTCTTTCCTCTCTTCCTTCTGGTGTCTTCTCCGCTCTCTATGTCGATGATCTTACCCTTTGTTGTCAGGGTGATGATTCGCCTCTCCTTCAACGCCGGCTTCAACTTGCGATTGATGCCGTGTCGTCTTGGGCCACAGGTCATGGCTTCAAGTTCTCTACTTCTAAGACTTGTGCCATGACTTTTACGCGGAAACGGGTTGTTCTTCGTCCCTCTTTGTCACTTTATGGTCATCCCCTTGAATACAAAGATTCCGCGAAGCTTTTGGGGTTATTCCTTGACACTCGTTTGTCTTGGTCTCCCCATATCTCTTACCTCCGTGTTGAGTGCTCTAAGTCCCTTACCCTCCTTCGGGTCTTGTCCCATACTTCTTGGGGGGCAGATAGGCGCACTCTCCTTGCTTTACATTCCTCTCTCGTCCTGTCTAAGCTCGATTATGGTTGCCCTGCTTACTCGTCTGCTTCTCCTTCTACTCTTCGCCGTCTTGATGCTTTGCACCATGCTGGGTTGCGCCTCAGTTCTGGTGCCTTTCGTTCGACTCCCGTCCTTAGCTTGTATGTTGACACTGGCTTCCTGTCTCTCCAGGACCGCCGTGATCGCTACTGTCTTCGCTATCTTGCGCGGTCCTTGCAACATCCTTCCTCTCGTCTCTGTCGTGCTTTAACTTTTACCCCTCCTGCGGTTCCTGTTCCTCTTCACCACCTCCCTCTTTCTGTCCGGTTATCTCGCCTGCAGGATTCTCTTTCCGTTCGTATTTCTGATGTTTCTCCTCGTGTTGTTCCTTCTTTGCCCCCGTGGAGGGTCCCTCTTCCGCGGTTTTGTACATCCTTGACTCGTATCACTAAAGCTTTTACCCCTCCTACAGTTCTAAAACGCCTTTTCCTCGAGCACTTTTCTTCTCACTCCCGCTCCGTTTCTGTCTTCACCGATGGGTCTAAGTCAGCGGACGGTGTTGGCTACTCTGTTGTTTTTCCTGATCGCACTTATATGTGTCGCTTGCCTCCGGAGACTAGCATCTTTACAGCGGAACTTTATGCTATTCTCTATGCTCTTCGTCTCCTGCTTTCTCGTTGTCAGTCTTCCTTTGTGGTTGTTGTTGACTCTCGTAGTGCCCTCATGGCTCTCGGGTGCTTTAATCCAGTTCATCCGGTAGTTGTCGAGATCCAGCATTGGCTGTTTCTCGTTCACAGTAAATTTAAGTCGGTTGAGTTTTGTTGGGTTCCCAGCCATATTGGCGTGTCTTTAAATGAGCGTGCGGATGCTGCCGCTAAGGAAGCTGTCCGCTCTTGTCCCATCTCTCGTAAAGGCATTCCGTATTCCGACTTTTACCCGGTTATCCATTCCTCAGTCCTTACCCGTTGGCAGGCTTCTTGGTTGTCTGTTACTGGTAACAAGCTACGTACTCTTAAATGTTGTGTTTCCTCGTGGCCGTCCTCCTTCCACCGTAACCGGCGGTGGGAAACAGCTCTAGCGAGGTTGCGTATTGGCCATACTCGCTTAACCCATGGTCACTTGATGGAGCGCCGCCCTGCTCCTTATTGTCCTAGTTGCATTGTCCCTCTTACGGTCGTGCATGTCCTTCTTGAATGTCCTGACTTCCAGGACGAGCGTGTGTCTTGCTTTCCGACCGCCCCTCGCGGTCACCTATCCCTCGATAGAATTCTTGGTGACTCGGATACTTTTGATATCGTTCGCCTTATGCGTTTTTGTTCTCGTATTGGCATCCTTGGTGATATTTAGCGCCCTCTGATTATTTTGCGTATTTGATGGTGCTACATAGCCTTCCCGGTTTGGTGCCTTCTTTTGATAATTACTTACTTATAGCCCCAGATGGAATCTCCCCTTGGGTTCTAAATGAAGGAGCAAGAGAACTGTGCCTACCACTCTCCATAGTGTATAACAAATCACTGGCAACAGGGGAACTGCCAGATATTTGGAAAGCAGCTAACGTAGTCCCGATATACAAGAAAGGGGATAGACAGGAGGCACTGAACTACAGGCCAGTGTCCCTAACCTGCATACCATGCAAGCTGATGGAGAAGATTGTGCGAAAAAAACTAGTGGAGCATCTGGAGCGAAGGAACTTTGTAACACAGCATCAACATGGGTTCAGGGATGGCAGGTCCTGCCTCACAGGGTTACTTGAATTCTACGACCAGGCAACAAAAATAAGGCAAGAAAGAGAAGGGTGGGCAGACTGCATATTTTTGGATTGTCAGAAAGCCTTTGATACAGTGCCACACAAGAGGCTAGTGCGAAAGTTGGAGATGCAGGCTGGAGTGAGAGGGAAGGTACTCCGGTGGATAGAGGAGTACCTAAGCAACAGGAGACAACGAGTCTGTGTGAGGGGTGAGGTCTCAGATTGGCGAGACGTCACAAGTGGAGTCCCGCAGGGGTCAGTCCTTGGACCTATACTGTTTCTGGTATATGTAAATGATCTCCCAGAGGGTATAGATTCGTTCCTCTCAATGTTTGCCGACGATGCAAAAATTATGAGGAGGATTGAAACAGAGGATGATAGTAGGAGGCTACAAGATGAACTGGATAGACTGAGTGAATGGTCCAACAAATGGCTGTTGAAGTTCAACCCGAGTAAATGCAAAGTAATGAAACTAGGCAGTGGGAACAGGAGGCCAGGCACAGGATACAGAATAGAAGATGAAGTACTTAACGAAACAGACAGAGAGAAAGATCTAGGAGTTGATATCACACCAAACCTGTCTCCTGAAGCCCACATAAAGAGAATAACGTCTGCGGCATATGCGAGGCTGGCTAACATCAGAACGGCGTTCAGGAACCTGTGTAAGGAATCATTCAGAATCTTGTACACCACATATGTAAGACTAATCCTGGAGTATGCGGCCCCAGCATGGAGCCCGTACCTTGTCAAGCACAAGACGAAGCTGGAAAAAGTCCAAAGGTATGCTACTAGACTAGTCCCAGAACTAAGAGGCATGAGTTATGAGGAAAGGCTGCGGGAAATGCACCTTACGACACTGGAAGACAGAAGAGTAAGGGGGGACATGATCACAACCTACAAAATCTTCAGGGGAATCGACCGGGTAAACAAGGATGAACTATTCAACACTGGTGGGACGCGAACAAGGGGACACAGGTGGAAGCTGAGTACCCAAATGAGCCACAGAGACGTTAGAAAGAACTTTTTCAGTGTCAGAGTAGTTAGTAAATGGAATGCATTAGGAAGTGATGTGGTGGAGGCTGACTCCATACACAGTTTCAAATGTAGATATGATAGAACCCAATAGGCTCAGGAATCTGTACACCAGTTGATTGACGGTTGAGAGGCGGGACCAAAGAGCCAGAGCTCAACCCCCGCAAGCACAATTAGGTGAGTACAATTAGGTGAGTACACACACACACACACACACAAGGTAAACAAGGATAAACTATTCAACACTGGTGGGACGCGAACAAGGGGACACAGGTGGAAACTGAGTACCCACATGAGCCACCGGGACGTTAGAAGGAACTTTTTCAGTGTCAGAGTAGTTAGTAAATGGAATGCATTAGGAAGTGATGTGGTGGAGGCTGACTCCATACACAGTTTTAAATGTAGATATGATAGAGCCCAGTAGGCTCAGGAATCTGTACACCAGTTGATTGACAGTTGAGAGGCGGGACCAAAGAGCCAAAGCTCAACCCCCGCAAGCACAAATAGGTGAGTACACACACACACACACACACACACACACACACACACACACACACACACACACACACACACACACACACACAGACGAACCCACTAAAAGACAATAATTTCTCTACACAGATTTACACCACAAGACAACCAACAGTGTGGCGGGGAAAGGTCAGGGAGACAAGCCGAACATGGAGGATCCAGCGGAGATCGGCGAGGACGACGACGAGGTCCTTCACGCTGGGGACCTGGAGGAGATCAAGGACATGGAGCAGCCGGATGGACCTTGGCATCCAGAGGACAGACGGAGGATGGAGGAGGACAGACGGCGCGAGCGAGGACCACACGAGCAAGAGCAAGGTCATTTCTTCACCAACATCTTCAGTGTCGCTGCTATTGGTGAGTCTAAGACGGGTAGAGACGGTGAGGGACGGTAGTCATCATCATAGAGTGGAAGCGAAAATAGGTAACTATAATAATAGTGGAAAGTGGTGGTTAGGTGATAAGAACTGTGTTGGATACGGACGGTGTTGCTCACGAACTGTATTAGATACGAACGGTGCCAGATACGGATGGTGGAACACACGAACCTTGCTAGATACAAAGCGTACTAAACACGGACGGTGCTAGACACGGTGCTAGAAACCGTCTGTGTTAGACATGGAAGGTGCCAGAATTGCCTTACTAGTGAGCTGCTAATAGGAACAGTATTTAACAGGAAAGGTGCGAAAGGGAAGAACGATATTAGACAGGGACGAGAGGGCGATACTAGACAACGACAGTGATAGATACAGGCGATGAGTAACAATAACGTGGCTAAAGTATGTTGACCAGACCACACACTAGAAGGTGAGGGGACGATGACGTTTCGGTCCATCCTGGACCATTCTCAAGTCGATTGATTCGACTTGAGAATGTCGTCCCTTCACCTTCTAGTGTGTGATCTGGTCAACATACAGGCGATGCTAAATAGAAAGTTAGATAAGAAGGGCACTAAATAGAAGATATGGATATGGATAGATATGTTGTAGATATGGACGCAAACAATGTTAGAAGCGGTGCTAATTAGTAAAAAAATCTAAAGTAAATATTAATGATGGAGGATATAGAAACGTAAATATATCAATAACGTGTAGAAACAGACACGTGTGAATGGATTGGAGGTGAACGGTTTCTTTACCATCACAAGTTTATTTTAACCTAAAGAGGAGAGAGAAGAGGCGAGTCAACGAATGCCATTGTCATTGAGGTTATGAAGTAACATTATCGTTTGACGTAGAGGTTATGGGTTACCAACCTCTGGAGGGGCTATTAAGGCCACCGCAAGAACCTACTTCTCCACGACTAGAGTCAACTTTAGGTATAGCAAAATGTGGTGTGTACCTCAGATTGTTCACATCCCTTGTAAGACTGTCTTTATAATGGCAAACTGCATGCAAGTTCTTCAATTTAAACATTTTATATATTACTTTTGTTATTATTATTATTATAACTACTTTTCACACTAGGAAATCATAATTGCGTGAAATCATTATGCGAAAATTACTGGAGCACTCTGCCGGATTCGAACTTGCGTTCTCTATCTCTTTAATCGCACGCCTTAACCCACTGAACCACGAAATGCTGTAAGTAATTTAACCTGGGATCCTACCTTAAACCACTTGGGGTCCTGAGGCATCCTAACTGGGATGCCTCACTCTGCCTCAAGTGGCAGAGTGTATGCAGGTACTTCGTAACAACTTGAATCTCCGGTTAATTTACTTAGAGCAGATCGTGGTCTAGTGGGTTAAGGAGCGCGGTTGGAGAGCCCCAGAACGCTGGTTCGAATCCCGGAGTGTTTCAACGATTTTCAACCTATTGTTAATACTGCATTATAATTGTTATCATAGTAACAAGCACAAGACAGTACTATAAGGACAAAAATAGGAGCTACATAAAATAAAGTACCAAAGTTAGAGATATCAATGAACTAGCCAGAGACGGTTCTAATAAAGGAGGAGAAACACGCGACGAAAGATGAGGCGTGAAAGAGAGGGAAGAGAATGGTGGGTTAATGAGAGCATTACCTCGGTAATGTGCTTAACGACAGGACCTGTACTGGAGGACGGCCGCTACCACCACACCTACCACTGTCACTACCATCACCACTACTACTACTACCCCTACCATCACCACTACTACTACCACCACCATTACCGCCACCATCACCACTACCGCCACCACCACCCCCCACCCAAACCACCACTACTACCACCACCACCACCACCACAACAACAGCCAACGTCACAACCACTATAAAGAAGTTAAAGAAATTGATTGAGGCAGAGACAAACGTGGGGACCACAACAAGGTGAGAGACCATCTGAGTAAAGCCCAGTGGTGTGAGAAGCGAGAGAAAACCACACACGAGATGATGGGATTCATTGCTCAGAAATGTACAAATGCAATGCAGCTGTTCATCCCACTCGAGAGGCAGGTGAATGAGAAAAACAAAGTAAACCCATGATTCAATCGGCAATGTAGGAAAGCAAAGGGGAGGACCAGAAAAGTATGGATAAGGTACAGGGAACTATGAATGGAGTTCAGTAGAGAAGCACTAAGAAAGGAGTGAAAAATGAATACAGTCAAGTCAAGCGGGAAGCCGAGAGTCAATTTGAAATCAACATTGCGGCAAAAGCTAAGAACCAACCAAAGTTGTTCTATCTGTATCTATAAAAGAACATGTCTGAGGAATGAACACTATAGCCTAACCCAGCTTTACTTTGTGACTCATAGGTGATAGGTGACTGTCATAGGCAGGGTGGGGTTTGCCCCATTGCCCCCTTTAATAGGATGGGGCTCCTATTGCAACTCCCAGTGGTTCCATGAAATCTGAAAAATGGGTTTGGTTTTCAACAGAGTTTTTCAACTGTTTCTCAGCTGTTCATTGCACGTTACTACAACGTTGTAACAATGTTGCTTCAAAGTAATAATAGTAAGAGACCATGGTGCCAGATGAAAGACAAGAGGTAACACTGGATTACATAATAGTCACTGTACAAGTTAAAAACTTAGAGGAATTAGATGCATCAAATTCAATAGGGTCAGACCTAATATCACAAATGGCTGTTGAAGGAGCTTACAGCAATACTTTCACTCGCTCACAACACTTCAATAAAACACTTTAGACTGGAAACCTCAAACAATTCTGGAAAAGAGTAAATGTAACCCAAATACTTAAATAAAGGAGGAAAAGACAAGAGACATTAAAACGAAACTTGTGTCACTGGTAGGTAAGCATTAAAGTTATCAGGTTGAGAATAACTGAACACCTGGAGAGGATAAAGAGCACAATTGATTTAGAAGGCGAAAGTCGTGCCTGACTTTTTAAGATAGAATTCTATGAAAAGGTCAATACAATTTGGCTGGTTAGACTGTAATTATCAAAAGATGGGTAGACTGTATTATCCTAGGGATAACGAGGACACTACTAAAGTGGGTGCGGAACTACTTGAAGGACTTATAACAGTCAGAGACGAGGTTTAAAGTTGGGGGAATGAACAAGTGGAGTTTCCCCAACAAGTGGAGTCCCCCAACGGTCGGTTTTAAGACCACTGTTCCTAATGTATGTGAACAACCTACCATGGGGATTATACACTGATTGGTGATACACAATTTTCTTGGGTCCTGGACTGTGTTCAGAGCTAAAGTATACTTGCTGGTTGTCAATAAGCTTTCGTGGTGGGCTTAATAGCCCTCCAAAGATTAATAGCCTTACTTAAGCCCAACATCATAACCAAGCAAATATACTTAAAAAAATGTGTATATATATATATATATATATATATATATAATATATTAATATATAAGCGTATAAAAAGTGGAATAACTTCAAAACATTTGTAAACCTGGTAAAAACACAATTATTTTTGTAAATAGCTAATTGAAATTAACACGATCACAAATGGGCAATCATAAATAAATACCTGAATAATGAAACGTGCATTGAATTATTTATTGGAGCTGCAAAAAATCATGACACTTTTCCCAGTTAAATTATTTACATGCACCGTGATAAATAGCCATTACATATAAATTTATGTATACGTCATCGTTTTGAAATTATATAAACGGGATAACCACTTTATTAGACCCGTTAGAAAATGGCTGCGAGGAGGGAACAGCAACATCCCTCACATCAAATATTATCGCCTTGTTGTCCACCTTTGTTCATGGTGTGAACTGATGTTTAATTTCTCGCACCGATTATATATTTTAGTCTTCACTTGCTTTCCAAAAGTAGAATATGTCACCGTTATTTCTGCTCTAGGCTTAGGCTGGGTGAGTAAGTGCACTCTGGTGAAGTCACCAGAGTGCTGGTGACTTCACCAGAGTGATGCAGTCCTGACAGTCCAACAGCACCAGGTGATGCAGTCGTGCATCACCTGGTGCTGTTGATCTGACCAAATATAACCCTTGTCAACTATACTTTTCACGTGCACTGCATCACTCTGTAACTCAGTGTGAACAAGTCCAAAAATTGACTTGTCCGGGTATCTGTCTTATCCGGGTATCTGACTTGCCCGGGTATCTGACTTGCCCGGGTATCTGACTTGCCCGGGTATCTGACTTGCCCGGGTATCTGACTTGCCCGGGTATCTGACTTGCCCGGGTATCTGACTTGCCCGGGTATCTGACTTGCCCGGGTATCTGACTTGCCCGGGTATCTGACTTGCCCGGGTATCTGACTTGCCCGGGTATCTGACTTGCCCGGGTATCTGACTTGCCCGGGTATCTGACTTGCCCGGGTATCTGACTTGCCCGGGTATCTGACTTGCCCGGGTATCTGACTTGCCCGGGTATCTGACTTGCCCGGGTATCTGACTTGCCCGGGTATCTGACTTGCCCGGGTATCTGACTTGCCCGGGTATCTGACTTGCCCGGGTATCTGACTTGCCCGGGTATCTGACTTGCCCGGGTATCTGACTTGCCCGGGTATCTGACTTGCCCGGGTATCTGACTTGCCCGGGTATCTGACTTGCCCGGGTATCTAACTTGCCCGGGTATCTAACTTGCCCGGGTATCTAACTTGCCCGGGTATCTAACTTTCCTGGATTTCGAGCTGTCGCCAGGTACTAAACACATTAGTCAGTGCAAGAATAATCACACACAAAAAAACAAGTGATTCTAATAATGTGTAAGTGTCCACGAAGGAAGAATGAAACGAAAATACCGAGCGTTTTAGTGTTTCAAACACGATAACGTTAGAATTTTCGTTTCATTCGGTTATCGTAGTCTGATGAAGACTAAATAGACGGTTAGCGTTTGTTTACAACTCATTTATCTGGCTTTTCAGGGCTGCAACTTACTTTAAGTGAACTACGTGCAGTTCCTGAGCCTATTATATGCTATAAGAGACTTTGATATATTTGCTAAACCATGTATGGGCTTGTCAAGTTTTGTAACGTAGCTAACTCAATGTTTCTAAATTTCAATGCTAACTTCAGTTTCTGACGATATATACACCGATAAGTATACCCCGCTTCTAAAATACGTAAGCTACGTGAATATATGTATATTCACGTAGTTTACTTTAGTCCTAAGCTATGTTCAGGACTAACGAATAATTGCTGGTTGGTCAGCAAACTATTGCAGTGGCTTTAACAGCCCTATAAAGGTTGATAGGCGTTAAGCCCAACACCCAACCAACCAGTTCCTGAGTCCAATATGTTCCGTAATATTTTCCACTACCACTCACAGCATAGGTATGGGGTCCACTACCACTCACAGGATAGGTATGGGGTCCACTACCACTCACAGGATAGGTATGGGGTCCACTACTGCTTACAGGATAGGTATGGGGTTCACTACTGCTCACAGGATAGGTATGGGGTCCACTACTGCTCACAGTATAGGTATGGGGTTCACTACTGCTCACAGGATAGGTATGGGGTGCATAATAAGTGAACTAAACAAGGACCATACATTTCTAGTGACCCATGTTTACTTATTTGGATCTAATATTTAGTTTCTTATTATACTAAACCTAAATTTAACAGGAATCTAGGTTACTGCTTAGCCTGTATATGAAAAATTGTCAGGTTCCACAGTTCTCTATTATCAAAGTTTTCTAATAATTTATCAGATTTGTACTTGCCTGAAATATGTGTTATTGGCTTGACGAGAATGCATCAGTCACCAAAATCTTCCTTGACACAACATATTCTACTTTCTTGAATATTTATAATTAAATAATAAATACATTTACAGTAGGCCAATAAGGTTTGTAATGCATTCCTGTCCAAACCCCAAATTTTCTTAAAATAAAATAAAATGCTTATTCAGGTAAACGCTTCTATTTTCTCTAATACTTACTCCAAATAATTACTAATTTGTATTATATAATCAGAATAATTATTCCTATTTACTACTCAAGTATTTGAAAAATCATGATAATAGGTAATGGACATTCTTGCATTACCTTAAAACTCTGTGTAGTCTCCGAGCTGAAGAACTGCTTAAAGTTCGTTTTCTTTGATGCAGGTCGGGAGGTGTGGCTCCCCATGCAGCTGGTGGTGGTCGGCGCCGTCGCCCTACGCCTCCACTTCCTCTTGTGATGAAGAGGATATACCATACCTAAAATTGGTCTCCGAATTGTGAATAACCCTAGCTAGTTTCCATGACGTGAATTCAAGTCACTTTTCATCGCTCTCATGGCTATCAATTGTTTTTTTTAGACACGGTGTGTGTGTGAGATAACATGGTGGAATATATGTCAATGTTTGTGTATATATGCGCAGTAGTGTTCCTATTTGTTCCTGTCTTGTGCTTTAATGATATTAGATGCGATTTAACGGCACAAACTGTAATATAATAATCACATAAGTTACTGATGACCATAATCACTCACCAGCTCAAATGGCTGTAGAATTTCTGTTCAACTCAAAATGATTTGTTTTTTATATATGTTCTTAATTCGTTGCTCATGTTTAACCTATGACCCATACTCAGCCCTTGATCCAGACTCAGCCCAGGACCCAGACTCAGCCCAGGACCCAGACTCAGCCCAGGACCCAGACTCAGCCCAGGACCCAGACTCAGCCCAGGACCCAGACTCAGCCCAGGACCCAGACTCAGCCCAGGACCCAGACTCAGCCCAGGACCCAGACTCAGCCCAGGACCCAGACTCAGCCCAGGACCCAGACTCAGCCCAGGACCCATACTTAACCCAGGACCCAGACTCAGCCCAGGACCCAGACTCAGCCCAGGACCCAGACTCAGCCGTTTCTCATCTTCGAAATAGTACCTTTCATAATAACACAGTAAACAAAAATAAACAAATACACTCTCAACAAGATACCCAACATGGATCTCACAGCAATAAACAAAAATTACTCGACAAAAGACAACAAAATTCCCATGTTCTATATACCGATGATATACACTCAAAACAATCAAGAAACTCCACAGAAGTAATAATCCAAGCCAGGAAGACTGTAGACCCACAGAGATAACACCGTAAATATTTGACGAGACGCGCAACAAGACTTTCACTAAACCAAAATTAATCTCGGAAAAAGATTAAAGTGAGGAGCATCATCTTCTCTCCGTGCCCGTCTTCATCAACAAAGGCCAAATGTTCCTTAATCCAGCCTCAAAGTCCCCCATTTGTGAATGAAAAGCGGTTTACACACGATGACAGTCGAACATTTATCGAACAGCGCTTGGATGACGACCACTGTACGCTGTAAAAGTATTCACCCACGTACTACAAATACAAATAATCGCTGACAGAACCTAATTACCTAACCTACCCTACGCCTAACTATACACAGAATTTTAATATATACATGAGAACAAAGCTACGTTTAATGTTACGGGCTATTCATGCCCGTGCCACCTCTTGGGTGGCTTAATCTTCATCAATCAATCATCTTTTTTTAATACGTAGTACGTTAAAAATTATGAATGCCTCTTTGGGGGGACGGCCGCAACTTTAACGACCCTGGCCTGAGGACGGGTTGTCTGATAGGCTCTGCTCGACAACTCATTCTCAGGCAGCCCATCCTCGTTAACAAAGGCAACAGGCTCATTAATCCAGCCACCAAACTACCTGTTTATGAACGAAACACGGTTTACATTCGACTCAATGCCTAATTATGCATATAACTAATATATAATATTGATTTATATATGATGATAAAAATATTTTATATTAAACTTTATGAATGTTTATACATTAAAATGTATGAATGCTTATATGAATAATTTATATATGATGAAAATATTGTAATACACAATACATGTATAATACATTAAAATTGACGAATGAGCATTTGGGGTCGGCCGCTGCATGGAGTGCATACCTTGAGGTCAGGTTGCAATACAAATAATTGTAAATAGGTACACAACACCTAACATATCCTAGCTTTAATTATACTGAAAATTTAAATCAATAACAATATTAACTTATGAGTAAATACCGTTTTTTTATATTCAGTCCATTAAAACTGATGAATGCATCTTTGAGGTTGGCCTCAGCTTGAACGGACATAGCCTATTGATGGGTTCTCCTTTACAAGTCCAAGTTTTTGAAGATTACTGTAAACACGTGCAGAGATAAATAACGCGAGTTATTTATTTACCCCAACATGAACAAAACTGACAGACAGACTCAAATATGCACATATACTCGACAAGGATTCATGGGTTTATTGATAGCTTTATTCTTTACGAAAACGATAGGTGCAACAGGTGAATGGAACTGCTGGCTAGGTGCGTTGACAAATGTACCAGGACAGTGTGTTGGCTTGTGTTATATAGCCACTGTTTGCGTGTGTGTGTGATGTTCCTTACCCCGGGGCTGATGTGCTCCTTGATTATACATGTGAATGTAACGAATTGTGGCAGCGAGGTGCAAGAGTCCGTGGCCGCTCAGCGGGAATCAACGATGTAAATACAAGGCCACAAAAAATGAAAAAACAAAAAAAAGTTAATCCGTATTCAGCCATATCCAATGACTAACAGATTTATGTACTGTGTAGATAAAACTATGGAGATATATCGCCTTGTCTGTCTCATCATGTATATATATATTATTAGTAGCGTTATATAACATATGTACAGAGGTGTTTTCCATTTATTGAACGAGATAAAGCAGAGCAGCAGCCTGGCGGGAATTCTTATCCTCCACCGTAAGTCTGGTACACTCCTCCAGGTGGCCTAAAGGAGCTTACTTCAGGTTCCTGTGACACAAGGGGGAACCTAAAACAGGATCTTGTGGCGTAAGGAATCCTCCTACAAGTTCCTGTAGCGTAACGGAGCCTCCTACAGGTTCGTGTGGCATAAAGAAAGCCTACACACGCTGGAGGTATATTGGGAGACCTCGTTATTTACAGACTGAGCCAGCTGGCGCCAAGAGGGATCCAACAACTGTCTGACAAAACATATTGTACCTAGAGAAATCAAACATTTCAGACGACTCCTAACGACGTCTTGAACAATCCAACACCTTTGAAGCAGGTTGTTATGACTTTAAGAGGGATATGATGACTATCAAACTTGATGCATTTTATTTTAAATATATCACAATTTCAGACAGGTCCTGATGGTGTTAAGAGGGCTTCAGTAATTACTTGTGGCTTCCACGCCCCCTGAGAAGAGTGTCACCAACATGAAGGGGCAAGCAATGTATAGAGAATCTTGGGGATCTTCAGAAGAAGAGAGGAGGTAGTATGTACATAATATTCCCAGCATCCCTTGCAGGGCTCCAGGGATGCCAAGTTTTTGGTGCATTGACCCTTAATGGGTTTTCTCGAGCTTTAGGAAAGTTAAAAACTTGTTGATATGTATGCCTTAGAAAGTGTGTGTGTGTGCGCGCGCGCATGCATGTGTGCGTGTATATGGTTTTCCCTATTTATGAATGTGCGCGTGAGCCTGAATGTATCTAACAACCCCATTATTAAATTTTAAAAGGCCGCCAATCACTGCAAAGTGATGTGTACATATGGCTACGCTTGGTGTGACAAACACACATGTCTAGACAATCTTGGTGCCGGATATTGTCACACGTCTCTTGGCTAGGCTATTATGATTTTTTTTTATTTACTTTATACAACTATCAGTAAAGCATACGTCTGGATGCAGCCTTACACCACCTCACCAAGGCAATGTTTTAGTGGCGACCTTAATTGCTACCTTCCCCATGATGTCCGGTGCAGAAATTCACCCTGATTACTAAAGCTTGTTACAGGGAAATTTTAGGCTCGTATTTTATCGAGGCGGAGCCAGTTGAAAATAATTATACTTATTTGTCTGGTTACTGGTGACTGACCGTGTTGTAAATGTGTGGGTGAGTGAGTGCTGGTGTGTGAGTGTGTACTGGTATATGAGTGTGTGCTGGTGTATGAGTGTATGCCTGCCAGTGTATATAGAGCTGTGGCAGTAACATCTTTAAGCTTGTCATCACAACTCTGGAGACAGAGATGGTAATATTTATTATATAGACAAGGAACAAAATCGCAGAAATAATTCATTTTGTTCCATTATTATATTTACAGCTTGTATAATACAAGAGTGTCATACCAACTTATATCCATATTATCACATGGATTTTTAGCGAGTTTTTGTATGAAAATAAATACAGAATGTTATAATAGATTAATGTATATTTTTCCTTCTGAAAATAGTTACCTCTTGACATCTGTTTAAAGCTTACATGGACAAAGATTACGTATTAAGTGTTGTGTTATGAGTGAAGACATTTTTGAATAAATATTGATGAAATGAGTACTTTCACTGCCCTTAATTTCTATCCTTCCCCAAAAAATTATAGTATCTATTGCTACTATTGATGCAATATGCAAGCGAGCGAGTAATTGTCAACAGAAGGCATCAAGTCAGGAAGACTCTTTAGCACCGTCTGTGTCATGAGATATTCACACCGTACTAAATATATCTGGGAATGCCAATAAGCTGTGCTGGAGCATTTAGCATCAATAGTGCTATACGAGTGGCACTATTTGGATGCGTGATAAAGGTATAATAGACAGAATACTCAGGAGCTACAGGCACTTTACCCCAAGAGTGTAACACTTATGTGCTGTGTTTACTATATTAACCTGCCATGCAAAAATGTGTCTTGTTCTGTGATTTGTGGATTTGTACTCACTGGATTTGAGCACCCTTTGAGGGACTTGTAGTAGAGGAGGGTTGAAATAGCCTCAGGTACTCTATCCCTTTGAGATGTATTATTTTATTGTCTCAATAAACGTACTTGAACTTGAACGAGTGGCAGTAAGAGGCCTACGGTTTGAAGGATATCAAAAGCTGGTGATCAAGAACCGGTCGGTGCCAGCCTGCCAATCAGTAATTAAAGAGTGTGGTGGCAACCACCAGCCGGGTCGGACGTTCCCCTGGTCTCCCAGCTGGTGTTTACATTGGGTGATTGTTGGTTGCCCTGACAGGTGGTTGTTTGCCACTACAGGGTGGTTGTTTGCCACTACAGGGTGGTTGTTTGCCACTACAGGGTGGTTGTTTTTCAGTCTCAGTACGGGGACTTACGTGCCGCCACTAAGAAGGAAGGACTCTGCTGGGCTGACATTTACTTGTCGAGTGGATATTGGCGTCGTCAGCAACACTCTGTTTGCAGTTATGGGTGTGAAAGTGGAAAATCTCGTCGGTCTACAGGTTGTTCGTGACGACAGAGTAGTTGTGAAGTTCGCCGAGAGTGGCTTGTTCCGGAGGTTTCTCAACCAGTATGAGGACAAGGTGGTGGGGCTGAGCAACGGTCTCGGCTCTGTGACTGTGACGGATTTGAGTATGGAGTACACATACGTGTCTAATAAGAATGCGCTATTTGAAATGTCTGAGGATCTTCTCCGTCGGGCTCTTGCCAGGTATGGGCGTGTAGACTCTATTAGTGCCTATAGATACACAACCGGGGACGTCAAGGGGCTCGGTAATGGTTACAGAACAGCTAAGATGGTTCTTCATGGGAATGTGCCTTCTTCTCACGCGCTTGCTGGCTTTACGGTCTGCTTCTCCTACCGTGGGCAGACTCGGACGTGTTTTAAATGTGGCCACGTTGGACATTTGGCTGCTGCCTGCGACACTCAGATGTATGATCGTGTAAATGTGTTTCGTGAAGCGGATTTTCCTCCCTTGCCCGAGCGTGAGGATGTATCAGTTGTGGATGGTACCCCTTGAGAGAGGACAGTTACGGTGATGGGTGCCGCTCCAGTTAGTGTGGTTGGTGGTGTGGGTGTCGGGGTGGTGGAGGGTGCGGACCCGCCCCCGCCGTCGGCTTCCTCGCCTCCGCCGGCCCCGTCTCCGGCTCCTGTGTTGCCTGAGGGGTGTGGGCCTGTACCCCCTGTGGGTGAGGCTGATGTTTTTACGGATCGTGTATTGCCCGGTGACTTGCGGCCAGCCGAGGGCTCCACTGGGATGCCTCCTGCTGCGGGCACCATACAACCGCTGCATATTCCAGCTTTGGCCTAATAAAAGTTGTGAACAATTTCTTTAGTATGTCTCTATCCATGTATTTAAAAGCAATTCTGAGGTTAGAAAGCGTGGCATAGGCTCCTCGCACAATGTTCCTAATGTGGTCCTCAGGTGACAATTTTCTATCTAGAACCACCCCTGGATCCCTTTCTTTGTCAGAATTCTTTAAAGATTTCTCACATAATTTATAGGTTGTGTGGGGTCTATGTTCTCCAATTCCACATTCCATAACATGGCATTTATTCACATTAAATTCCATTTGCCAAGTGTTGCTCCATATACTTATTTTGTCCAGGTCTTTTTGAAGGGCATGACAAATCATCTAGGCTTCTTATCTTCCCTATTATCTTAGCATCATCAGCAAACATGTTCATGTAATTCTGTATTCCCACTGGTAGATCGTTGATGTAGACAATGAACATTACCGGTGCAAGAACTTGTGTGTGTGTGTGTATGAAAATTAGCATTAAGGACCTGCCCGAAACGCTATGGGGGCTAGTGGCTGTACAAGACTGTAAGAACTCTTGTATATATAAATAAAGAAATCAAATAAAAACTAGCGGCACAGAAGAAAAGCAAATTCAAACGCGGAAATTCTTATTTGAACACATTTTTCCTTTGGAAACGAAGCTCCAAGAGTGAAAGTTTGCTTATCCCTAGAACAACTCCAGAGGAGAGGGCCCTGACACATTTGTAGTGCGGTGGGTGTTTGAGTGAGGGCTCAGACGGGCCCGCACGCCCACAGCTTCTCGGTGGAGGGCGTGAGGGCGGGGGTATCCCGTGTGGTGGGGGTGCCATGTGTGGGCGAGGCCAGTGGAGGAGAGGTGGGGTTTCCCATTTTTGTTTGGGGGGGGAGTTCAGTTTAGATGTCGAGGGTTCCCCGTGTAGGGAGAAGTCAAATGCAGAAGATGAAGGGAAGAGGAGCGGTGCCCCTGAAGGAGAGGAGGGGGAGCCATGTATGATGTTGTTTTAGATTCAGCTACTCAGAACAAGAAGTTTCAGTAGCACTGGCTATGGTGAGCCCGTAAGCCACATTTGAGGTAACGGTGCTACATGTAGCAGAGTTGTAGGGGAGATGAGGTGTAGAAAAGGTAGTGTGTCATATGTAAGTGTATAGTTTGTGTGTGGGTATAGGGGAATTGTGAGTGTATCAGAGGTAGGGGAGTAGAAAAGGGTGGAGGATGAAGAAGAGGGTGGAGGATGAAGAAGAGGGTGGAGGGTGTAGAAGAATAGATGTAGTAGAAGGTGAAGAATAGGATGGTGTAGAAGGTGGAGGACGTCGAAAAGGTCGGAGGATGCCTTTGCTAAATAAATCAATAACAATCAGGTGGTTCCCTGGATGTGTGTAGACTGGCCGCCAGCCACACAACACACAAGGGACACACGCACTAGGGGACACAGGTGGAAATTGAGAACCCAAATGAGCCACAGAGATATAAGAAAGATTTTTTTAGTGTCATAGTGGTTGGCATTAGGAAGTGATGTGGTGGAGGCTGACTCCATACACAGTTTCAAGTGTAGTTATAATAGAGCCCAATAGACTCGGGAACCTGTACACCTGTTGATTGACGGTTGACAGGCGGGACCAAAGAGTCAGAGCTCAACCCCCGCAAGCAGAAATAGGTGAGTACAAATAGGTGGGTGAGTACACACACACACCGGCAGCCCAAGGGGGGAAAACAGTGATAAATTTTGATTAATTTCTATGGGAATATTGTTGAAGACAACTGTGGTCTCGGTTAAAAAGGTTTTCAGTAATTTATAAACTTCCCGAACAGGAACTTGGGAAATAAATTTAGTTCCCTACAAGCACCTCTCTTTGAGTGACTGCAACAGATAAAACTGAGTAATATCCTAATATATTTGCAGAATGTTTAGCTTAAACTGTGTTAATGGGTGCTCAGAGTGCAGTAGAAGTAACGAATACGTTGCGGGTCGCATGTTTCTCACCCCTACGACTATGACTCTTGAGCCTTGTATCAACAAATATAAACAAATATCATTGGAACAACATTCTAGGCTTTCGTGAAGGAGCTTGACAAAGGTACCGGATCAGCCTGCCTTGCTCGTGATGACTATGAGAGTATACAAGCCTCACTGTCCCGAGTGAATCTGTTAAGTAATATGAATTACACCATTAACTCCAAACAAAGTCATGCATCATGTTAAACAAAAAATTGCAGAAAATTCCCGTGCATGAAAATGTTCCAAAAACCCTCGGTTCGTCTTGACTAAATCAAAAATACGTTGGGGCAGATTGTTAAATGGCCAGATCAGACAGTGGGAAAAAACAGGACAGAATTTGCATTATTAAATGAACCAACGACTGTTTCAACATCGTTTGCATACCACTCATCAGAAATGGTAAAGTTTCTGCATACATAATAGACAAAGGCATCCACGACTGATGAAAGAGGCTACGAGTTCTTATGTGTGCAGTGACCTAACGATGGGTCCAGTACACTGTAAACCCCACTTGGGGGAAGGGGCACTGTTGCCCACCCAGGGAATGGAGCTCGCCCATGGATGGGGACCTGAAGCCCACCAACGGTTGGAGCCCTGAAACCCATTCAGGAAATGGGGCCCTGATGAACAGTCAGAACTGGGATTCTGAAACTAGCCCATAGATAGAGATACTGGAACTCACCTAGAGATGGGGGGCCTGGAGCACACCTGGGGACGTGCTCTCCTAGCACACCTGGGGACTGTCAGGCACAGACATCACTATGTAACTGGGGATGGGCCCAGCTGACCCGGGCCGGCTCCCGCCTCCCGCCAGGCAAGGGCAGGAACACCCAGGGGATATCTAGCGGGGAGTAGTTTCACGAAATTTGGATTACTTACAATGTTGTGGAGTCCTTTTGGCACTTTTGGGGCTGTGGTCTCTACTTAACCATGCAGTAGTCTGTGTTGATGCACCTATCTTTCTGGGTGCCCTTCCCTTGGATAGTGGCAAAGATAATGAACTTTAAATGTGAAGTGTTCATAGGCCATCGCTCCATGCGACTCTTTAAGAGGGGACCAAGTTCTGACTCGTGGTCCACTGTAGGTCAGTAGAACTCTAAGACTGTTGACACCTAGTAATATGGCACTTATAGCTCCAGGGAGCCGACGGGGGTTACCCCCAGAAAATGTTTCCAGTGTACAATGCATATCGTTAAGACTAACCACAGAACTCCTATTATTATCACATTCCTGTCCCTAAATCCTCAATATGAATCCCTTTCCACAAGGTTACATTGTAAAGGAACATGAGGCCGCCTCATGATGCGTAGATGCACATA